TCCCCATATGGCTTGTGATATTCCCCAAGATATTGGTGTTATATATTGGTGTTATATATTGGTGTTATATATTGGTGTATATTGGTGTTATATATTGGTGTTATATATTGGTGTTATATATTGGTGTTATTGGTGTTGATTCCCGATAATCAGAAAAACAGGGGTTTTGAACACTGCTCAGAAAGATTAATACAGCAGGAAAGCAGCTGCGCCTTCCATTTGCCATGTGAAAAATGCTCTTCAGCGGCGTCTTAAAATCAGGTCCGTTCCATTCACCCTTCAGTGTTTCATGAGAATTGCTATTGAGTCTGATAACATCCAGACTCGGAGCTATTGGGATATACGCTGCTTACTAAACATCACAAGCTTTTGGGAATCACAAGCCGCTGGAAGTCCCAGAACGGCCACCACCTGGCTGGTTTGATGGTGAAAATGCCCTTATCCAATAGTTACCCCAGGACATTATAAGGGGATATAAACTGAAATACTGGCAACTATTGATAAGGTGGAAACCTTACCGTTGGTTATTTTATGTTATTTGCGGTCTTTCATAGTTACCAATAGTTACCAACTGTTGCAGGATTTCCTCCATCCACAGTATCTTCCCCAACTTCCCCAATTTTGCCGATGGCACGTCAAGAACTTAGGTCTCAAGCCACACTTTTCACTCGGTGTCTCGACCCCAAAGTGATAGAGCTTGAAAGACTTGGACTTGGTTATGGAAAAAGATGGAAAGAATTAGGAAATAATGGGAATTTTCTTAATGGGATCATAATATATCATAATTGCCATTAACATGGGATCATAATATATCATAATTATATCATAATGGGATCATAATGGGATAACATATGAACAAAATTGCCAATGGCCACAGCAGGGGAAATCATGTTCGCTCTCCTTCATGGTCGGCTTGGTCATCGGACCTGCCAGACGGCAACTGGGAAGCTGGCGCCAAAAATGGGGTACCAGTGGAGCCACAGACTTGGTCAAGTTGTCTATCCAAATCCCATTTTTTTATGGCCCAACCGTCTAACCGTTAGTGACTGAGCCTCTGGTTGAAAAAAAAAAAGACCTACTTTTTGAAGGGCTCTATCACCTTTTTTGTCACAGCCATCTTTCAACTGTTCATCGCAGGTTGGCCCAATGGTTTTTCCGCCGCGCCTCAGTCAGCCCTAGCGGCCAGTGATGTGAAAACATCGAGAGAATCCCAGTCAGTTGCTGAGTTGCAACATTTGGTGTTTTTTCTTGCTGGTTAAATGATCCAGAATGAATGGTTAATGGATCATTATAGATCATTATAGATCGTTATGGTTAACATGGATCATTTAGTAGGGAATTATCGAATGATCCATTATGATCTATTTGTTGATCCATGATGAATAATGATCCATAATAAGTAGTAATAATCATTCCATTTCCCCAGTCCCTAAGTACCGGTAAGGTTTTGGATGACACTTCAGACTCTGTCGCCATTTCAGTTGATAAATTCACCTCTTGAGGAGACTGCGCCGTCGCCACCCAATGAATCAGCGGTCACCCGCTGAGAAAGACTTGGATGTATGGCATGTATGGGCATGGCGACCAAGAATGAGGTATGAAATGGTATGAATGTATCAAGTTCGTCCTGGTTTCGTATCAAATTCGTCCTGTTTTCGTATCAATTCATGTGAACCTTGACAGAAATCAGGTCATTTTCTCATCGGAAGTGGACTCTGGGGCGAGCCTCATGTGAGTCCGTTTATCATGTTTTGCCACGGTTGGCTATCTGAACAGATACATTGAGATGTTAAACCCTGGAAAAATTCAGCGTTATGCTGCAGAAGGATCTTTTCCTGGCGATGAAGAATGTTCCCAAACTTGGTGCAGCTCACTGGCAGCAACCAGCCTGGGCCATCCAAACGGACCGATCAAGTTACCCTTTGGTAAATTCACATAGCGAAAATCACCAGTTTTAATAGGTATTTAATAGGTAAATCAAGTAGAAATGGGCCATTTTCAATAGCGAACTGTTAGAAAAAACCGGAGGGTAGCCAGTGACTTCTTGCCGAACCTTGGGCTGGCCGATGGAGCTCTGCAGTTTCAGTCCCGCCGAGTCGGACAACTGCTTCTCCCGCTTCAACCTGGCTCCCGCAGGCTCCCGCAGGCTCCCGCAGGGTCCCGCAGTACCAGGGCCATAGGTCGAGGCGACAAGATCATGAGATCAGGGGCATCCGCAATTCACCACCAAGAAGTGAAGGACTTAAGTATGAGCCAAAAAATATGGGGATACTCAGTATTCATGATATGTTCATTCTCCAATTCAAAGCGGCAGCTTTAGAGCAAAAAGAACAGAACATGTATGATTCTGTATAATCTAATACATAATGTATATTATATATACAAAAAAACATCTGGTTGAATTGTGAATGCTGAATCAACCCCAGTTCTATGTGATCACCACTTATCCTCCGCCACATATCGCCTGATGCATTTCTCTGCGACCACATGGAAAAGAAACCTGGCGCAAGGATCATAGCTGAAGAGCGCGCATAGCGGGAGTCAACGGAGCCCCCTTTCTATTGAATTCTATTGGTCCAACCCCACAAAAAGTGGGTTACGCGGCTTGTTGTTCGTGTGCACTTGTTAGCTGGTGAAACCAACTTGTTGCTGGTTTTATCCCACTTTTTGTAAGTTCACATCACTATCTTTGACGCTGTGTCCATTTTGAGCGGATGAAAAGTCTTGGGTTCGGCAGGTGGGTCCATTGATTCATTTTATTCAAAGCATCGTAAAGTTGGTATGAAACTCCAGCGAAAGAAGGAACAATTATTCATTGATTGGTGAGGTTCGCCAGGGAGGTCGCTGAAATTTTCCCGTGGAGTTTACACCCTAAAAGCTATCCGCCTGATGTGCTCGCCACCCCTCAGGGCGCTGGTGGGGAAGTATGGAATCCCTTCCTGGCTGCGTGGCAGATCGCAACACAACCTGGACTCACGAAGTTTCCACCGCCGAGAAAGTCAGTTTTGTAGGCGCAAAAACTAAGAAATATGGAGGAGATACATCAGTTTTTCCACTTCACCAGGGTTTTTATGGTATGCCATCACGTTTTGAAAAGAGAAAATCTGGATTCATTAATCCAAAATCAAAAATGTGGCAGTCCAGCTAAATCCACGTTTTCAACAAATACCCACCACTGATTCAACATGGAAAATTGCCCCTTGATGATAATCGCCTGTCGGTGATTTTCCAGTTCTCCAGTACTGTGGTCCAGTACCACCTGTGTGCAATTTTCACCGCCATTAACATTCCATGAATATTTCATTCCATATTTATTGGTATTAATCTTAATATGGGATGTTAAATGTGCCATATATAACATATTAATATGAATGGGATTAACATATTAATATGAATGGGATGTTTAATTCCATTCATATTTCATTAATCTTCCATATCTCCTCATGATCCCACGGGATTTTTTGTGAAATGGGCTCCGCGATCCAATGGGATGCCGCTGAAGATCTTGCCCAAACGTTGGTCGATGGTCCATTTGTTTGATATATCTACCATAAATCTATAGATATAGATAGATATATATATATATTTACCATAAACCATAGTTAACCATAGTTAACCATAGTTAACCATAGTTAACCATAGTTAACCATGGCTGACCACATTCCCCATGAGCATCCCAGTATCCCCATGAAAATATCTTGTGTTTTTCCCCTGGTTTTGAAAAAAAAACGGAATCCCATCACCTCCTCAGCCCACCGAGAGATAGGTTCCAATGAAGCCTTTTGCTCCTGGCGAATAGGAGCTGGGCCTAGCAATGCTACATGCTGCTACATATTATCGGGATAGAAATAAACATACATATATATGTATTTTTTTTTATATGTATAATGGGGCTGTTGAAAATCATGGACCCAAAAAATAGCCCTTGAGTTTTGGCGAACCCTTTCGCGCCCTTTCGCGCATCAGAACAGGGACGGGATGTGCTGTCATGTGTTCGTGCACATGTTTGGTACTAAGGGTTCATATGGGAATTGTATAGGACATCGCTTAGAAAAATTGGAAGTTGCGGAAAAATTGCAGCATGGCAACGTGTAAGCCTTACTAGCCCTTGGGGGGTTGAAGCCCTGCCTCGCCTTTCGCGAACCTTCCGCCCCTTTCGCGGATTTCTCCAAAAATGATCTTTGGAAACGCATATTTAATGTCAGGATGACTTGCGTGATTCTGCTGATACAAATTGGGGTGCCATAGATTGTTTAAGAACATCGAACAATACCACAAGCCATTCCTATCATCCTGGAACAGTTACTTACCCCTGGAAACCCTCATGACATTGCGGTTTACGGACCAAATCCCAATTTTGTGGTTCAGTGGCGATGCCACAGCGATTTCAGCAATAAACGCGCAGCAACCAAGCATGAAAATGATCACATTTATCTACATAAATATGTATATATATATAATATATATATATATCGTGGTATCCAGACCTTTGGCCAAACCTTTTGCCGCGCTTTCGCAGCATTTCGACTGCAGCAAAACGCACGTCCATATCGACACTTGTCACTTGGACACCAAAAATATTACATCGGCTTTAGAACAATCCCCATATGTACACATTTTTGTTTGTACGTAAGTATATGGTGATCCTGGAGTAGATAAAATATGGAAAATCAACAAAAGGAACCTCACCAAAATGAGAATGTGTTTGATCATATTATGTTCTGTCTACTTGAGATGATTGTAATTACATTTTGATGGAGATGTAGATATAGATATTGCTGCATATTGGATATTTGACGTAAATGTAGTTATGTATGAATCATATATATGCATATACCTTGCAAACTTGGCGGGAAATCTTACATGGTTCTCCCACCTTGCAGATAAGTAAAGCCGTTTTTGGCTGCAAATTGCTGCTACTTTGCCCCAAACTCTTATCCACCCCAACTCTTTCCCTTTTTTCCTAACCCTGGGTTTCGAGATTTTGAGATCCAGTCCATTCAAACCAGGACAAGTGGGGAAAGACCGAAAGACCGGAGCCAACGCTCCAAAAAAGGGGCGCAAGTCTCCTCTGAGAGCAGATCCTCTTTGGTGCCAACCAAGATGAACAAGCACTTCGGGTTGTGGTCCTGAGCAGCGCGCATCTGGGCTTGTGAACTAAAGCACCGTATTTTGCCACGCAGGGAATTGTGTAGGGATACGAATTTTTCCATGAGCCCCGGGCAATTTTTCAGAGTTAATTTCATAGTTCCAAAAGTGGGGCATGGTTCCCCTTCTATTCCACCAATAAATGGGTTTTGGTTTGCAAGTGAGGTCGTAACTTTCATCAGGACGGTTCGAGACACCAAAAAATGCAGAAAAATCTGATAGTTGAGGGAAAACTGATTTCCTGCAAATGATTCCCATACTTCACCAAGTTTCAGAAACCTTCTTCTTCCAGAACTGCGTCCGGTCAAAGGTTGACACATCAGACCTTGCTTTGCAGCGGTGAGGATTCCAAGTTCCAGAAACCCACGAAGCACTGCTGTTGGAAGTATTTGAAGACAAGCTGGGCATGAGATATTCCCATATATTCCCACCATTTTGTGCCACAATAATTGTCCAAGTTACATAGCCGGACGGGGTTTACCCACCGCTTAATCCAAACCGAGAGACATATCGAAGCAAAGCAAGCACACCTGCCCAACGGCACTGAAATTCTGTCCATCCCTGGAATCCCGAAACGCATCTGTGATGCCCCTAAACTCCCATTAGGCCAATCATCATTTTCCCATATTCTAATATGTTCTAATATGTTCCCCATTCAAATCACTGTAAACTCTGGTGACCAGACTCTGGTGATTCTGCTGTTTACCATTTTTACTCGGCCACCAGTGCCTCCCCCACGCGGTAGTAGCTGGCGGCCATATCTGCAAATCGCTCTTGCCCTGCAGTGTCGTATAGGAACAGGTGCACCTGGCGGATGATTTTTTTTTGGTAAGAGATCAAAACAGACATTGGGATATTCAATGGATTGGTTTAAGGGAAAATCTACAGGAAACCATGGTTTTTACCATCAAATATAAGGGTTTCCTGTAAATTTTCCCTCATCCAATTCTATGAGATATGTAATCAACAATATACTTGGGATTCTCCATGGATTTTTACGCTGGGAGATCATTCTAGATGGTTTTAGATGATTTGGGGTTCATATATTGTTGATATCTCACTGTAATCAACAAAATCCGGGGATATGGTGGGATATAATTGGGTATAGAAGCAAAAATATAAAAATGTTTCTGTAACTATGTTGACAGAAAAGTATGGGCATATGGCTACTGTACTAGTCAAAACTGGGTTGCACAAAATGGATGCTTTCAATTTGAAGGCCTAAAAATGGGCAGCTTCAGGCTTCAAGCCCTGTGGATCTAGCTGTGAAAGAAAGTCAGACCCATCCCTTTGAACGGATTCAGACATTTCTAGCAATGGTGTTTCAACCAACCACAAGCAGCCGAATCAAACAGAATCCCATGGCGCCAATAATGGAAACTGAACATCAAAACTTGTCAGCAAATTCCAAGCTTCAAGGTGGTTTGATTAGGATTCCCACCATCCCTTTGTCCATCTTTATCCCACGTCCAGCCTGGAGGTATAACTCCACAGAAATCATCATAAATCACGACTCTCAGTCTAACTATCTAACCCAGCACCGATTCTGTCTCATATCTCCCACATTTGTTAAGTCCGTTTTTTGTGGATTAATAAACTGAAGTTCACGAAGGGCAGCACAAAATGTTTTTATATGCCATTTGTGCTAGTAAAAAAAAAAAACGTTTCCCCGAATTCCTCTGTTTCCCCTTTTTGCCAGTGAAATCGCACTGCTTCCCCGGTTCTTGTCACTAAGATCTCACTGCTTCTCACCTTTTCAATTTGTCTGTTTCAACTTGTGCCAGTAAAATTCGAATGTTTCACAATCTTTGCAGGTAAAATCCCAATTTTTCCAATCTTTTGCCCGAAATGTCCCATTTTTGGCAGGTAGAAAACCCAAAGTTTCCCAATTTTTGCCAGGAAACTTGCAGTGTTCTCCCAGTTTCTGCCCTTCAAACTCACCCATCCTTGAGGCATCTCGCGTTCTCGCCTCAGTGTCGTCGATAAAGACGGCCTTCTGCAAACAGTCGCAGCCCAAAGTTGGTCCGTGGGTGGCGTCGTCCGCAGCGAAGACGTTGTTCACCTTGGAAGGGGATCAGGATGGAGGGGGCAACAAAAATGTTGGCAACAACAAGCTATAATGTTAGTAAACATGTAATGTTTATAAATATTAATAAACAGGGGTTGGTAAATTTGGTAAATGTCCTAATTTTTCACATCCAACTATTGATATAATCTCGAAGAGATAATTCACTGTGATGTTCAAAATCCCCTCAACAGGGCATTTACCAACCCCGGGTAAAAGCAAAATAAGACCTCGTGAAGTATGAATATAGCGATTTCCCATATCATATTTAACTATCCCTTTCTATTAATGATGATTTCAGATGTTTTTTTTCCATAGTTAACGAATGAATTAATGGTAATAAAACCACGTCATAAACTCATAAACCGCCATGGCCGGATGGTGGCAATCCCACCCATAAAAATGGTAAGTCTTTGGGGTGGCGATACAAGCCAATATCGTATGAAATTCCATTGCTTTCCAAAACCTCAAAAAGAATGGATCCAATACTAAACCTGGGTTGTATTGATAACATAGGACTACAGGGTCTTCATTTCTCGTGTCCAAAAAAAACATGGCCACACAAATCAGCAAAAAAATGCTAGCACAATGGACCTTTTTGTTTGCCAAATCATTCCCAAAATATGGACGTATCCACTTCTGATATGTGGTTTATCTACATTCCTTGGTGATTTTCCACCGCCACGCATAGTTACCCCGAGCGGAAGACGTGGTATCTTAGCATATATGGTATATTTTTGGCATGAATAAAAACGATTCCAGCCAATTTTGACTGGATCAAAAAGATAGTGGCACCAAAATTCAAAAAAAATGGCAAGGTTCAGGAAAAAAACAAACAGTTTTGTTGTATCTTGTTGTCGGGATATTCCCCAGGGACCCAGTGTCGACCTGCGGCATGCGCGGAGCACAAGGATGACCAGTGCATTCTGAGTATATGCAGGTGTTTTTGAAAATGGAAAAAAAATCCCCATTCCTGGCCACTTGAATAGGGAAAATATGGGAAAATGATGATTAACCATTGATGAACCATGATTAACCCTTGAAAATGCGGGCAGACCATTTTCAGATCAACCCATTTTTTTTGAGGCAAGATAAACGGATGATCCAAGGGACGAATCTTTCAATCAAGCAGGTCTTGCCGGTGGCTGCCGGACCCGCCACAATGACCTGGCATGAGTTTCCACAATGTCTTAAAATCATCGTCGTTCAATCGGGTCGCTTAAAGAATAAATTGACATCCACCAAAAAACCAGGCAAAACACCTGGCAGTTTGCCACGCGCGCCTTGGCATTGATCCTTTTGGGCAACGACATCCAAGCAAAAAATCTAATCGTTGTGGGGCCGGTCAAACCATCGGCTATCAACCCATTGGTCGGTTGGTTTGTCCCCAATGTTTGTGGTTTATATCTGTATCCTCGCGCGACTTGTGCCATGTCGATTTGATCTTTTTACAGTGCCACTTGTTGATGCGCATACCCTCATCCTCTGGCAGAAACTAAAATGATTTTTGTTGTATGCATTGGTTAGAACTTCCTTCGATCCCGTTACCAAGGCCATGGCTGGAATTTTTTTGCTTGCCACAGTAGATAACAGCAACAACCCGTCGCATCATTGAATGTCATTGTTGACATTTCCTGACCGCGGACCCATGGAAATGCTTGAACGAAATTGTCAGCTTCAACCCAACGCAGAGCAGGTATCATCGTCATTTGCTCCGGTAAGTTGTCTCAAATCGCCTACTTTGACCCTTTTCATACGTCCTCAAAAATCCTGACATGTGCAAATAATTTTTGGGCGTCCCAATGTGTCCCAGGTCATTGTTGCAGAAAGCGTCTTGGCATTATCTACGTCTGCCAACGAAAAGTCTCATCACTTTCGATTTTCAGTGGAACCTTGTTACAGCTACTGTGTGATTTCCATGATTTTGTCCTCAAAACTCTTCAGAAGTTGCCCACTTCTTTACGAATTGGAACACAAACTGAAGGCCCACAAGCGGCCAACGTCGGCTTCAAAAACTTCAATGTCGGATTCGGAAATTCCTGCACCTACGGATGCGGATGTAAGGTTTTTGCGTGGGGAAATATTGAAAATCATTTGGAATCGTGACAAAAACTCTATGAAAAGGAAGGTTTCGATATGACCAATACATAGTAATACACATTATTCCATGAAAAGCAGCGGGCACTATATTTTCCACCTTGAAATTGAGCCTTGAATGTCAGTTCGAAACTGTGCCGTGTCATCCTTGCGCAGTGGTCATGGATCACATGCTGCCAGAGCTGAATGTGGTTTCAGGGAATTTCAACACGCCTTCACAGCTCTGGCAAAACATTTTTTACATGGTTTGTATTTCTTTGCGCTGGATGATGATGGTGGCATGGTGTATTTACACCCCACCGCATGAAAAACACGTCCAAAATCAGTGACGATCAACTCCATCTCTTCAAGTCTGGCAACTGTTTTCTGAATCTTTTGTTCTTCGACTTTGTCTCGCGCCATGTCTGTTTTGACAATTGCCAGATTCACGCTTTGTTCAATGAGTTTTGCCATGTGCTCTCCCATGTGGTTAAGCTCAAGCTCAAGATCTATCTTGTCTTGAAGCAGTTCATCAATTCCTTTCTCCTTGACTTCAATCTCATCTCTCAACTCACTGATGATGACTTGCTCGTCACCTTCTTCTTGCTCTTCTCTCTTTTTCCAAATGCACTTCACGCACTTGTAGCAAAAACTCGCAACCAGGCTCAAGGTTCCGAGAATTCAAAGTACGCTGCATGCAAGGAACAAAATGTCCCAAATTGTCTCACCGTCCAAAGCCTCTTCAGTTGATGGTGTCAAAACATCACATCCACCTTCCAGCTTCTGACCATGATTCACATCCACCATGGACAAGGCAACAATCATTGCAAGTCTTGCTGTCGTTCCACCTCCTTTTGATCTCTTTGCCACTTCAATCCTCAACTTTCTCTTTGATTCTATCTCCTCAAACTCTTGCTTTCCCACGGGTTTATCCACGTGGTCAACCATCTTCATCATGTGCCTCAATCCTAGAAGCCTTGCCTTTGACATCGGTTTTGTGCCTGCGTCTGCTGGGTTGATCTCTGTGGGGATTGGCGTCAACCGCACCTTCTTTTGCGACACCTTCTGTTGAAGCCATAGGAGGTTGCTTCAATGTGCCTGATGCACCCAATGCCGATCCTTCCGGAGTCTGATCGGCACACAAGTTTGCATGTTGAGCCGCATGCAAATGCCCAACAATGCTGCAGGAAGAGTGCTTCACTCAATCCTCCCACCATGCAGACATACTCTGACTCCCCAGAGCTCAGTGCCACACAGCGCTGACCGCGCACGTATGATTCTCCATGTAGATCTGTACTGATGACAGTGACTTCCCTGTGGTTTTGTTCCTGCATAGTCTGCGTCACAGACCACTTCCATCAGGTGCTCATCTTTCTCATTGTATTCACGTTGAGCATGCTTCGTCCTCTTTGGACTGTGTCCATCTTCAGGCCATCATATGCTGTGCCTTGCAAGTATCGGCAGACATGCTTGACTGCCTCCCATGCTGTTTGTGTTCGCTCCTTCATGAATGCCGAAAGGCCTTGTGTGACGTACTGCACGTCTGGCCTGTCAGGTGCTATGTAGAGAAGTTTCCCCACACAACTCCTGAACAGTGCTGCCTCCTGCTCTCCTAGCTTCTCATCCTCCTTGCTGAGTGTGTTCAAGTTTGTTGCGCATGGTGCGCTTTTGTCCTTCTGGCCTTTGACACCTGCATGCTTGACCACCTGCATGATGTGCTCATCATCAGGTCTTATGGTCACACCATCTTCCATCATTTCCATCTTTCGCTTCAGGTAGCTGAATCTTTCATTGACCCCAAAGAGCCTCTTCTTTTCCAGCTGCCAACCTTCGTCTTTTGTCCAAGGAACTTCATTGCCAACGCTTCGTCGCCAACCAACATGAGATCATCCACATGAATGGTGGCGTAGAGCCTGTGCCCTTCTTCATGGCTCTTCTTCTTCATCCTCATCAGCGTTGGTTGCATGGAATCGCTCTCCATGCCATACTTCGCTGCCTTCTCCTTGAACTCATGGAACCACTTGCTGGCTGCAGTCCTCTGTCCTGGGAGTACCTTGCCCAGCTTGTACTTCTTTCCATCTCTGGTGACCATCGCTTTCTCATCTGTGGGCTGGTCGACCATCAAGAACGCATCCTTGATGTCAACTGTCCATACGCCAATGTTCCTGTCCATCAGTGCTCTGTGTAACATCAGCTTCACTATGCCGTACGCTGATGTGGGTGCAAATGCTTCGTCTGTGAAAATAGACCACTTGCATTGTCTGGCCACCAATCTTGCTCGCCTGAACCATCCACCCTTTTCGATCCTGTGCTTCCATGTGATCACCATCTTTGTTGTGATCTCATATGCTCCTTCTTCAACCTCCTCCTCATCATGCATGGGCTTCAGCACTCCCATGGCCATTAGCCTTGCTTCCTCCTCTGCCTCTGCTGCTGCACCTCAGGTGAAAGCTTGGGTGGCTTGTCATCCTCATCATTGATGACATCATCACCTTGAAAGGTGCTCGTGATCTCCTCCACCACGATGTCATCCTCATGATTCTCATCACCATCTGGGGTGTCTTTGTATACACCCTTCTGATTCGCTTCATCTCACCTTCACCCTCTGGGGCTTGGTCTTCTGCACTCCTCTTTGGATGCGATGTGTCTTGATACATACGCACCACTTCATCCTCTGCTTCTTTGGGCTTTCTTCTTGTTCTGTTGCTTCATGCTTTCTGGACGTGCCGTGTCCAGGCAGTGGCATTGTATGTTGTGCACCTGTTGCTGATGATGATGCCGGTGATGCTACAAGCTGCTGGTGCTTGTTGCTGCAATGGGGTCGTGTCCCAGATGCTGTTGCTGGTGTTTGTGTGACCACCACACTTGGTGTTCCAAGTGGTGTTGTTGTTGCTGCTGCTGTTGTTGTTGTTGTCGTCGTTGTTGTTGTTGTGCCAGCTGGTACTCTCGGTGCTTGTGATGCTGGTACACCAGGTGTTGTTGGTGCTGCTGTTGGCAAAGGTGTGGCTGCTCCACCCATCACCCCTGGTGTCACCAACCCCAATGCCACTGCTGTGCCTGCTTGTCTCGCCCTCTCTTCGGTGGCTTGATCATCTATGTCTTCAACCTGGTCTGGCTTCCATGTTGCAGGGCCCTTCATTTTCATCACATAGCCCTGTGGAGAGAAACTCTATGGCAATTCCTTGGCTATGACCAGGTCTTCTGCGCTGAATTGGGTGACCAGTCTTCTGATGCTCCTCGTTTCCACGGCTCTTCTCGGTGTGAGCACGACATGGCAGTCTGAGCCTGATGACTTACCAACCCAGACGCCTCTCTTGTAGACAGCTTCTCCTTTCAGCGCTGTGATGTCTTTGTACATCACTGACTCTCCAAACAACGCATCTTTCTCAGGTACTTCCTGTCGTTCATTGCTTCATAGGAAACTCTTCCCTTGGATCACTCGATACCAGTACCGGACATGCCTGTACGTGGCTGAGTCTGAAACAAAGGCGTCACTTAAGCAGGTGACAGAGGAGATTGTGAGATTCTCCCTGAGCACATGTGGAGGACAGCCCATCATCCTCATGGCAGATGGTGAGCGGGCAACAAAACAAATACTACGAGCAGTACAACACTGCAGAGCAGCAATTGGTCTCGGCACAGAGATCAGAGCACAGGCACGGCACGGCATGCAAGCAATGGACAGGAAGATGGCAAACTGTCTGAGGGTCTTTGCTGAAGCCAAAGCAGGAGCAAAGATCAGAGGAAGCAGCCACCTGTACCCATGGAGCTTCAGGCATGCAGCCTGGCTGGTCACAAGTGCATCTCTTGCTCTATCTTGCCGGGTGGCTTTGGCACTGTCAGTGCTATTGCTTAATGCTTGCCTTCTTCATCATCTTCCTTGACACTTCCACTGCCATCTTTTGCTCCTCAACCACCCGGAAGCTCCTCAATCTTCTCAGACACTTCGTCTTTCCTCCTGAGGTCGCCATCCCCAGCTTCCTGCACCATTCTTGGAGTACCTTCAGCTTTGTGGTGTTGTTGAGAACTTCATCATCAATTGTCACCTCAAGTTCGTCTTCATCTTGAAACGCAGGTTCAAGCCGTCCAGGTGCCTCTCCACCTGCTCCTGCACCTTCTGGCTGGAACACTTCATCTTCAGAGTGAGGCCATGCTTCAATCTCTCCTCCGATCCTGGGGAACATTGAGATGGGGACTTAAGAGTTGGGTGCAAAGTAGTTTTGCAGTTGCCGTGGTG